TGAACCCCACTAACGCTACTGAATGGAGGCAGCGGCTCAGCCTCTGACATCTCCCTCTCTCCGGAGCCCCGTCTGCAGCCCGGCGCTGACTGACAGCCTCCGCCGCCACTCACGCGCCGACGGCCGACTCGTCTCCGCCAATGACGTTCCGCGAGACTCGTCGAAGCCTCCGCCTTCTGGAAGCGGAGGCATCGGGTTACCGCGGAGGCAGTCGGACCGGAAGTGGTGTCGTGCGGCACCGGTCGACTGGCTCCGGCTGCGGAGCGACGGGTGCGTGGAGCGCGGTTCCTGTTTATTAATTAAAGTTTCCCACTGATTTACGCGCGCCTTTATTGCTGCTCCCGTCACCCTTGAGCGCGTGCGAAGAAAGGGATTAAAGCGCGACGGCATTTCTTAGTCGTGCCAGCACTTAAATTAGAGGAATACAATCAAACTAAGAGCAGTTCTCACTGGTAATTATTAACTTAACAAGGGAAGGGAATGATCAGGTGTTTGGTGGAAAGTCGTGTTTTACGCATTCTTTTACGGACAGGTCACTTGAGAACCTTTGTCACAAAACTACAAAAGCATATCGCATAAAATATGATTCTCTATTTAAGCTACTCTTGAGATTTCATTTCTTCAAAATAGTGTATCATTTTTGCTCGACTTCGCTAATAAATACAAAGTGTGTAAAAGGAAAACGCAGGGCACCACAGGTCAAAAAGGCAGTCAAGGATTAAACTCTGGAAAAGCTTTCAGAGATCCACAGAATCTATCAGAAGACTCATCCAGATCATGACGTCCTGATTGTAAAACATGGTGGTAGCGGCGTCATGCCGCGGGGAGGCTGTTCCTTCCTTAGGAACAATGAGAGTTGAAGAGTTAAGCACAAAACCGTCTGATACTGTGGCTAACATCCACCTTCCAGCAGCACAGCCAAAGCTGCCAGCTTGGATCAAAATATATATATATAGAAGGGACCAGTCAAATCCTGGTCGAGATGCAATTTTAGAATCCTTGTCAGTATTTCAAAAATGTATGTTTATAGACACTTTTCATCCAACATGATGGTCGCGTTGCAGAGGATTCTGGGCATTAATGTCGGCCTCTAAAAGCCGGCGGACCCCCCCAGCTGTGATTACTGTGGACGTAGCAATCAAAGCCCCACGAGCACAAACACTGTTCCTAAAAAAATAAAACATTCATTCGTGACGCAAATTTTGTAGGACACCAGTCACATAAAGAAGTGCCTTATATCTCCGACATGCAGCCCCATTTAATCTATTTTCAGATTGTGTTGATATTTGTTGATGCGCTTATTGAAGACAGTAAAAACAATCCAGACAAAAATTGTAGTGTGAGTTTAATAAAAAATAAATAAATAAATAAAAACAGGATCGGAATTTATCTTGACATCGATCAATTTAAAAAAATATCACGATAAACGATATTTTCGTATGTATTCAGCGATCGCCACGCAAAGGATTCAGCGAGTTGTAGTCACTTAAGCAAAGTCTCTCGCAGTTATTATGCATCACTTTTGCGTCTCTTCCAGCTAATGCAGCTGCGTGATTGCATTTGCCATTAGCGGGCTGCGTCACCGTCCCCCTTATTGGTTTGAAATTCCATTAAACATATTGCTCTGGCTCCCAGGTTTAAGCTTGATTTAAATTTGCATACATTTTCATACATTTAGAAGAAGTAAAAAGAAGGCTGCGGCTGCCACCAGAAAGTCATTAGGGGAGCGGAGAGAGGCACAAAGCTGCGCTGTCGGAGAACCGAGGAGGAGACCGGGGCCGGGGAGGGGGGCGAGGAAAGAGGCCGGAGCAGGTGAGCTGGCTGACCGGGGCGGGAGAGCAGGCCGGCCCGCTGGAGGGAGGACGGGGCCTGGGAGTGACAGAGGCAGAGAAGAGGGTGAATAACGGAGCCGGTAAACTTGTCCGAGCTGAAGGGTGGGAAATTAAAAAAAAAGAAAAGAAAAGAAAATTGTATGTTTGTTTTGTGGTCTAATTCCTGCGCCTGAATTCTTTATAGCCGTTCTCTCTGGGTTTCGGCTGAAAGTGGCTGAATATTTGATGTGAAAGGCGATGTTGTTCCACTGGCCTAGATTTGGTGAACCGGGTTGCTTCGTTTGAATCGTTATGGGATGGGAGGGAAAAAAAGAAGAAGAAGCGGCGGCGTTTGTTGTGAACTCGCACCACAATCGACGGCGGCGGTTCCCCAATAAGGGACCCGCATTTTCATGTCATATGAAATGACACGCCTCGGCGAATGGAGTCTATGGAAAAATACACGCGCGCAGAATCGTTTGATCCAAACTGCTCAAATTAGACATTTCAATGCGGGAGAATTAGGGAGGAAAGGGAAGGGATCGCATGTTTGCGTCTCTTATTTCCCCAAATATAAAATTTGCCCGTGTTTTCTGTGGCGCATAAAGCAGGACTTGGATTGAGAAAGAGAGAGAGAGAGAAGGAGAGAGAGAGAGGGGGGTGGGGGTCGTGTCGCTCTCCATAGTCTAAGTTTCTAAGTGTAACAGATGCTTCTCTAGAAACGCTCCTTGTGCCGACTCCCTTTTATTCGCGTCGACATTTTTCTGCCGCCGAGCGCGTTTCCATAGCGAGGCGAATAAAAGGCAAATCCCCGCTCCGCGCCTCCAATAAAGGGCCCATTCACAGATAACCCGGACCGGCCCCGCTACACTTGCAGCCTCCCCTCCATACAAGGTGCACATTACTGGCGAACAACTGAAACTAATGAGCTATCATTTCTTTAATTTCGCCTTTTGTGGGGTGGGGCGCTTGTCTCGCGCTTGTTTATCACTTTTTTTGTTGTTGTTTTGTTTTGTTTGTTTGTTTGGCGGCTGAGGGTGATTTTTTTTTTCTTTTTTAAACGACTGTCTTGTGACTCGGGCGGTTTATTCGCAGGAGGGGAGGAAAATAAACGAATCAGTCAGCAGTAAACTGCGGGGTGTTGGTCCAAAAATACAGCGCGAGATCAGATCTGTTGGTGCAGCAGCAACTATGCCGGGCTTGGTGCTGCAACTGATGCTGCAGCGATATGCGTCGAATCAGTGTTTCTCAGCTCGGCTCAACGGGGAAAAGACGTACAATTAAAACAAATTCAAGACTAACCAGTTTTGAAACAATTACTTTTACTAACAAGGTTGGTTCACGTGACAGCTGAAAGCCATCATTGAGCTAATGTTACTAAAAATGATGCTCTGTCTTATTTTCTTTACTGGAATGGCAGGGTTTTTTTTCTTTTAGCCGTTTCAGTTTCAGTAATGGAAAAATGCAAAACAAATTACATATATATAAATATATACCAAAAAAAAAAAAAAATCAGGCAACAACAGTTGAATAAAACTAAATAAAGCTGACTAATGGACACGTGTCAATTTAATCCTGTTTAAAAATAACCAAGAAAAAAATTAAGTGCCTTGTCACTGCCGTATTAAACATTACTCAAAAAGTAACAATCTAAAAAATAAAATAAAATAAAAAAGCTTAAGGAGTCCAAATTGCTAGCTAGTTTGACATTAGCGTTAGCCAACTCAACCGAAGCTCGACGCAGACTTAAATTCCCGAAAACGTTCTCAACCGCCAAGTCTCACGACGCCAAGTCTCACGACGCCTCTCAGCTGCTTTGACCTTGACGAATTCGTCACTGAGTTGAAGACATTCGCCTCGCCGCACTCCGCGGGAGACCGCACGCCACGAAACGGGCTAGCGGCCGCTTGACTCGGCGTCTTTGTTTGAGTTCTGATCAAAATGTGTCGTGGTCAGTGTCAAACTTCAACTATCTTTGAATATCATCATTGAAAACCCAACGTGCTCGATTTAAATCGACGACAATTAAAATGTCTGCTGCGACTGTAAGAATTCGCTTTTTTAGCTAGTTTCACGTTAGCGTTAGAACTGTCGTTAAGCTAGCTAAACCTGAACTCAAACTTCAGTTCTCGCCCCAATACAGAAACTTGAAACTTTTTTTTTAAACAGCCTTAAAACAATTTTATTTCTGTATTCATCCTTAATAAAATCAACATAAACATAAAACACTCAAATAGAGGGTAAGAGTAGCAGCTGATAGAACCGACATCTTTAGTTAGGATTTGTTACTAAAATGACTGAAACATAGTTATTACTGATATTCTTTTCTAAAAGGTAAAAAAATAACTGTGGTAGTTAGTATTTAATAACCTCCGGGTTTTTTTTTTTTTAACAGAGACTCAGTGCTACCAGATTTTTAATTAATACTTTAATTAACACGATAAAGATTAATTAGAGCTTTAGATTAATTGTTTCACCATAATTATTAAGTAACTTTTTTTTAAGCATTTGTCAAGTTAAATTGCCTCTTGGCTGCAGCTCTTTTATATTCTGTCAGGAAATTTAAAAGACTGAGCCCAGACCTTAAGGAAACCTCACATACAGTGTATATAAAAAGGTAAACATGAGAACGTTGGTTTGCGTTAATATCTCAAACTTCCAGGGTTTGTTCCTCAGAGAATCCACACTGAAGTTCAGCTCTGTTATCATCCCACCCCCTCCCTCTCCTTTTGAATTAAGATTAAAATGAGTTGTTTATTACAAAAAGCGCGTCTGAATGCGGCTGGGCATTTTGTGCTTCATTTGGATTTTTTTTATTTATTTATCTATTTTTTGGGGTTTTGATGTTCCACCCTGCAGCTTCCAGCTCTGTGCTGCGGCTCCCAGATAAATCAGGCTTTAGTCTGCTATTGAGAGCGCCTTGGGCCTCGGGGCGGGACCTGTCACTTTCAGTGTCGTGACCTTTCTGGGAACTTTCCCCCAAGGAGCCCAAAATCTGCCCCATGCCGCCAACAGAGCCAGGCCACATATTTATTTATTTATTCACATACATTTGGACACAAAGGATATTATAATTGCTGCTCTTTCTTTTTTTTCTCCCCCCCGACCCACAGTGAGTCAACCGAAAAAAGACAACAACAAAAACCTTCCCAAAAATACATCGATGTTTTGTTTTCGTCTGCTCTTTTG